AGTATGGATTTAGTAGAGGCAAATTCTGCCTGACCAACATAATTGCCTTCTACAATGGTCTTCTACAGACAGACAGTGTTTATCCTGACTAGTTAGGCTTTTGACATGGTGTATTACAACATCCTTATAGCCAAACTGGGCAGACCTAGGCTGGATAGGTAGTTTAAAAAATGGGTGCAGATTGATGGAACTGCAAGGCTTGAAGACCAGTGGCTGGTCACTAGTGGCATTTCCCCATGCTCAGTACTGGAGTTGAACTGCTGACAGTCCTCACCAACATTCTGGATGACAGTGGCAAACTCTCCCAGCAGGCGATACCAAGATGCTGGGAGCTGTCAATATACTGGAGGGTGAGGCTGCTGCTCAGAAGGCTGAAAACAGGCTGGAGAATTGAACTCACAGAAACCTCATGATGTTCAAACACTCAGTCTAGCATCTGGTACAGAATAACCCTATGCAACAGTACTAGTGGGGCACTATCTAGCAAACATTCTTGCAGAAAAATGCCTGGAAATGCTGGCGAACAAGATGAACAGGAGTCAGCCATGTGTCCTAGCAGTGGTGAAGGCATGACATATGAGAAAATTGGTAGATGTGTTTGCTCAGGCCCTTTAAAGAAGGGAAAGGGGAGAAATAACTGCTGTACTCCACTGCATACGGATGGTTACAGGGAAAATGGAACCAGAGGCTTCTTGGAAGTACATAGCAAAGGGTAGAGGCAACTGACACAAAAGGCAGAAAGAGAAATTCAGAGAAATTTGGTTGGATGTAAGGAAGGAAAACCTTTCCAGTAAGGGAGGTCAAAGGCTGGAAAAGGGACAAACAGAGTGGTAGGCATAATCTGTGTCCTTGGAGGTATCTGAAACCACTGGACACAGCCCTAAGCAACCTGATTTAACTTTGAAGTCAGCCCATGCTTGACTGAGATTGGGATCTTCAGCTCAACCAGAATTCCAGAAATCCCTTTTGATCCATCTTCTCTCTGATTCCCAGCCTTCTCTCCTCTTGAATGAAAGCAACAAAGTCTCGCTCCCAAAATTACCGTGAATATACATGTATCTGTGGGTTGTTTTTCGTTCCTTTTCCTTTTTCTTTGTTTTTGTTGTTATTGTTTTTGTTTTCCCCCATTCTAGTAGATGTCAGTACTCTCTGTAAGCAGCATTTATGTTAGCATACATAAGCGTACATGTGATTTATATCTTAGAAGAAGGGATTTAAATGGTAAAACCCCCAAACCATAGTGTTTATCTCTATAACTTAAATGATGTAGAAAAGAAAGACTGGTTATTTGTTATTGTTTTGCAGTCAGTTTTTCCATTTTATGTGAAAGCTTTCCAAGATCAATGATCATTCCAGAATGCTAGTTAAAAACCTCTTTTTCTTCAAAATGAAATACCCAGCATGATTTTAGTAAATGCCTGTGGGAGACTTATTAAGGAACCCCTTAATAACTTTGCTCCGTCGCCTTTTCATTTTCATCAGCTTTTTGGAAGTCAATTACTTTTATTTTTGAATGTGAACATTTGGAATGTTGCAGAGCTTTTAAAGGACTTAAATTTGGTGGACCAGATTCTCACCTGTGATAAAAACATGATTGTGTGTTTGTGTATCTGTACACACATTGTAAAGGGGACTTGTAGGTACTGTTGGATTGCCTCAGCTCACACAGTGTCAGGATGATAACCACAAATAGTTTACAGCAGCTGACATTTGAGATCCTTGCTTCCTCTTCCCCAGCTTTATGGGATGGCAATAAAGGAATGCTCCAGGACGCTGCTGTACATCAGGCTCTATGTCTATATATCTCCTTACACCAAGGTATTCCCAGTGAGCACTGTGGTCTGAGCTGCTGCTTATTTGAGTATGCAAAGTTTGATATTAATATAGTTGGAAAACCCAACCAAAATCCTAATCTTTAGGTACAAAATGAGAAACCAAGAACCTAACTGCTAAAAGGAAAAACAGTGTTAAAACTGGCACTTTAAGCTAGTTTAGATTAGTAGCATGATGAGTAGTGGGAGGGGAGGAGTCTATTCAGAAAGATAAAGGAGCAAAACCGTTGGTAGATCATAATGAATTGTACTGACATTGCTGCCAATTCTTAGAGACTAAATCTACACGTGGCTATCAAAATATAAAATTTCATTTTTTTTCTATTTAGCGGCCCAGAATATGCATTCTTCTGAGTAAAATTAGTGTTTAAAAGATATACACACCAGATCCACATATAACTAGTCAGAAACAAGTTTTTACTTTCCTGATTTTTATGCAGTGATATTCACCTTGAAATGGAAATGCTGAAGTTTCTCCAAATACTACACCTGTTGCATATGCCAGTGCCCATTTCCATGTTTTATGCTTGTCTTTTAGCATGTGGAAGAGACATACAAATTGGTGAAAAGTAAGAAACAATGACACTAACTCAAAAATGAAACTAGCTGAAGGAATAAAGAGAGAACATTTATGTAATATTTGTTGTTCATAACTAAATCATGTTCTAAGGCCATGGTATTCAGCTGGGGATTTTTCAGTCAGAAAGATATAAATACAGGCTGTGTAAGACAAAGATTGCCAATCTGGTGTTTCCAGAATATGGCAAATTTATCATATTGTACCTGTGCAGCATGTACAAAGGCACCTTTGGAGATGAGTCAGACTTAACCAAGTAAGCATCTGTAAAACCAGCTGCACTCTATAGGTGCAACAGATCGTTTCAGTTCTTCCCAGGAGTGTTGGGCATACTGCAAAAGCAGAGAAGCTTTCTGAAAGCATGTCTTTCAGGACATGCTTTCATATGCATAGTGTCACACAACCTGTGTGTGAGCACTGCGGATTTGTTCAGACTTTCAGATATTATACAAAGAGATTTGGAAATGCTCGTGTACAGCAGCATCATGACATAAACAAAGACTACATTTTTTAATGTTTTCACTGGCAAAATTCTGGGGTTTCAAAACAGGTCAGCTTACTGCTTTGCTACTTTTTCTTTAGTTATTTGCATAGGACTTGTTTGTTTCAACATGGTGATAAGTACTCTGTGTCTTCAGATGTATTTACCAGTTTTCTGCAACAGCCGGACACCAACATGAAACTACCAAGTGTCCTCTGGTCTTACAACATGCAGTCAGCTTGAGTGTCATGGTACATGCTGGTAAAATAAACATACGTGCTCCTATAGCAACAGGGTGTTTGCCACATGTACAGTGCAACAGCTGCTGTAGTTACATTTTAGTTGCTCTAGTTGTATTTTTGATGGGCTTTCACTGCTTTTAATGGAGTAGCAATACCTATGGTCCTACACTGAGGCAGGGAGCTGGAAAGATTACCCTTTCCACCATGTATTCAGGACCTCATGTCATTTGGAATTGGTGGGGCAGGAGGATCCAACCCCTGTGGATCTGTCTCTTTTCCTGAAATTGTGGTGCCAATAGCAGCACAATCTTGGCTTTTTCCAGTTACCTCTAAATTATTTTTTAGCTGTCTGCTAAAATCTAGAAACGTGGTTACCCAATAAGGAAATTCTGAAGTTATTGTATCAGCTTCCAACGAATGAGATAAGACCATATTTGTCTTTACAACCAGCAGCCTTTTAATTCAGCTGCAGTCAGCATCCAGCATGTATATGTGCTGCAGTGCTTTCTGCAACAGCGCTTGTGACAGTCACATACCAGGCTACTTTTGACTTGCCCTTTCAATACCAGCCTCTTTGTATTTCATCCTATAGCTGCATCACTGCATGCAGAGTAGTCCACATTAAGCCTTCATTTTGCCCTTTTCTTTTTTTTTGGGGTTGTTTTTTTGGGGTTTTTTTTTGTTTTTTTTTGTTTTTTTTTTTTTTTTTGCCTGTATGGATCTTTAGAAAAAGTTTTTTGAATTTTTTGGAAAAAAAATTTCAAAAATTCCACATATGCTTGCTTGCATGGAAGAACTCCAGCATGAACAATAACAAGAAGAGAATTGTTTCACTTCCCTCTTCTGTTTCTGACAGTTGATTATGAACATCAGGTAAGATGTGGTAACAGTTAAGGACTGAGCAGAAGGTTATTTTCTGAAATCTGGCCATTATACTAGCTTGTACAATTGAAAAAAACCCCAACAGATGATCAGGTATATCAGTACTTCTCAATGCTGCATGCATTCATCCCCATTTAATCTAGGAGTGGATCAGAATTACAGGACAAAACTGAGAACTTGACTCTTGATACCACTGTAACAAACAAGGTTTCTTTCTAACCTTTTTTAGCTGTCTCCCCTCCACTTCTCTGCACCACCTTTTGAATGGCACAGAACACAGCAAAATAAACTAGAATATTCTTCTTTTAATTATCCTCACTCAGCAACATTTCCCCTTATTAATCAATAGTCGTGGCAGACGACCACGACCCGCCACCCGTCTTTAAAGCTGTCTTAAGAGAAACAAGAGGTGTTTAGGACCTGACCCGTCACTACCTCTGGAGCGCAGGTACACGGACCAAGCTCGCCACCCCACCGCGCAGGGAAGAGAGGCCCGGCCGAGTCCTCGGCTCTCCGGGAGCTGCCGTGCGTGACTCCCTTCTCCCTCTGGAGGGAGACACAGTCCAGTTTTTGGCTGCCGCCGGCGCCGCCGCGTCCCCCCTGCCCCTGCTCGAGCAGCCGCGGCCCCCTTTCCCCGGGGCAGCTGCCCTGCCCTGCCCGGCCCGGCCCGGCCCGGCCCGGCTGCTCCCTCCCGCCCGGCGCCCCAGCCTCCCACCGCAGGGGCAGAGGGGTCCCGGGGGAGTGGCGGCGCGGCCGCCGGGGGTCCGCGGGGATCTCCCCGGCCACATGCGCCTCTGGGCATAAACTTCGCACCCCCGCCCCGCCGCTCGGAGCGGAGAGGAGAGAAGGGAGAGCTGCGCTGCGGAGCGGGCGGCGGAGGGAGGCGGCCCCAGCCCCAGTGTGCGCGGGCGGCGGCGGCGGGCGCTGCCGGCTGAGCCCCGCTGCTCGGTCAGACAGAACGGCGGCCGCTGGGACCTGCTCCCTCGTAAGGGCTGGGGAGGAGAGCCACGAGTGGCCGGATAAATACGGGGGAGGAGAAGGGCGTCTCTCCCTCCACCTCCTCCCTCCCCCCGCCGCGGAGGGCGCGCTTGGAACTGCCTCTGTCTGTCGGGCGCCCGGGGTGTCTCCGCGCCCTTCCGCGGTGCGGTGCGCGCACGCTGGGCGCGGAGGCTGCTGCTGCTGAAGGTGAAGCTCGCGCTCTCCAATTACTTTTCCCAAGAGAGAGAAGGAGGCAGCAGGAGGGGGAAGTCGTGCTGTGTGTGGAAGGCACACCAATCAGAGATGCTCTAACGGAGGGACTGCTGCAGGACGCGCCGGCTTCTCCTCCTTCCTCTGCCGGCGGGGTTGAATCGGAACCAAGCGCAGCTGGCGTAGGGGCCGAAGCCGTACTGGGCTGCAGGACGTACCCATCTCCGCTGTTTCAATAGCTCAACTATACTTCGTCCTTTCTATTTTTTTTTTTTCTCGATACTCTGAAATCGTGCATAAGAAACACTTCAAGTCTTCTCTCAATTCCCAGTTACTTCACCCTTCCCTAGCATCTCTTAGCCGGATTCCTGGTGTATTCCCAGAGAGACGGGGTGTGAGAGCCGGGCCCCGCGGACGGCTGCTGCCGAGGGGAGCCGAGCGGACGCGGCACGGCGCCGCTCCATGCCCCCGAGCGCTGGCGGGGCGCGGGGCGTGTGCCTGCGATGCCCGGGCGGTAAGGCTGGAGCTCCCCCCGGACGGGAGGCGGCCGATCGCTAGGCATTTCTAGCAAGAATCGGGACTGCAGGTAGGTGAGCGGAGCGCTCCAGGGTCGTGTGTCTGTGTGTGTGTCTGTCTGGGCGCTGGTGGGGCCGCCGGGTGATACCCTTCGCGGCTGGCGGAAACCCCGCGGGCGGCGGGCGCCAGCGGCCGCGGCGGGGCCGGGTGTGAGGTGTGCGGAGCGGCTGCCGCGGGCTGCGCCCGCCCGCTGCCCTGAAGTTGGACGAAGCCGGATGTGAAGAGCTGCTTTGCCGTCCTGCTGCTGGGCACCTGAAGCAGCCGGCTGCAGCCTTTCGCTGGGCGATTCTCAAGACTTCTGTTTTCCTTTTTAATTTTATTTGATTTTACTTAAAAGAACAGTTCAACAGAGCCGAGAGGGAGGCGGGGGGAGCAGGGGAACCCACCCGGTTTTCAACTTTTATGGAAGGGGTGGCCGCTAACTCGCAGGACCTTCAGGCACTTGGGGATTACTGTGCCCGGACGCTTTATCGGCCGCGTTCGAGAGAACGGCTGGAAGAGCGGATAGTCGCTTTGTGCGTCCTCTAAAAACAAAACAAATAAGAAAAAAAAAAAAAAAGCCATAAAGGGAAGATTCATGGCTCCGTTTTTCTCTTTTTCTCTGTAGTGCTCTCCAAGTTGTGCGTATATACTATGAAACATACCTTGTCTATCCACGTTGCTTTTGTAGAGAAAGTTTTAAATTAACCTGCTTTATTCCTGTGGAGCTGTGGGATCGGATACCAGGTTATCAATGCAAAGAATAAAGAGCAAGAGCTTGCACTGCCCTGTTAGGGGTTGCTACGCATGGCTCTTCTGTATATTTAATTCCTACGGGAGTTAAAATGATTGCTTAAAGCATTTTAAATAATATGTGTAACTACAGTTCTCCTTTGGAGCTTACCAGTATTTTTTTTTTTTATAAGTACCTCAGTTCTACCATCCTCCCCCCAGTAGACATTGGCTCATTATTTAAAGAACCATGCTTTGACTCCTGCAGAGCTGTCAATTTAAATAATAAACCTACTCAACTCCTTTCTCTGAAAACCCCATAAAGGATTCCGGGTCGTAGGGTCTTTGCACCACAGTGGATACATTTAAATTACTATTGACTAAATGATAATTGTTATCTGGTTTCTCTGTCTTACCAACTAGTTTCAGACTTTAGCATTCAGCCTACTATATGTTTAGCACTTTAAAGCTACTTTATGGGCTAATTTAAGTCAAATTGAGAAATTAAGATTCTTACCTGTAGTGTTTGGTACACACTCGAAACATAGTAGTTCAGTGATGCTAGGAGAGCTTAGCTGAAGTTGGGAAAGAGCATACTAAGATATTTTTATCAGAGGTGGCAAAGATTACAAGTTTAATTATATTTTTGCACATTAATTGTGCTGTCATCTCATACTGATGCCTAAATTGTGTTGTGAGTGTATAATTAACAGTAGTAAAGTAATTAATATAAATTTCACTATTAATATTTTATATCAGAGAGCTGATACTACTGAAACAGTATTGAAAACCATGTGGGTTTTGTTTCACATAATCCCAATTACCAGTAGTTATTCTTATAAATGTAAATTACCTACCATAATTTCAGTAGAAATCTTTTCTCAGTTGATACTGCAAATCAGATTTACTACTCACTAGTTCTGCATATTTTTTTGTACACAGAAGATCCCTCAAAAATGTAGTATTAACTTTAGATACACTGATGACAGTAGGCGACTGAGATAAAATCTTTATTCTGTCTTGCTGTTTTAATCGGAGAATGATGACTAAGCTGCCAGTACCTTTAATCATATTGAACACATGGGGTAACTTTTTTACCTGTCTCTTATGATCTGGGAGATCTCAGTTTTATGTGCAGATGCCTGTAGTGCACTTGATTATTCTGGTGGGGAATACATTAAAAACTTGTTCTGAATGAAAGTAAATAGATGTGTGTACAGATGGATATTGGAGATTGTTTTACTGGCAGGTTGCAAAGTGATGATTCATTGAGCCCTGTCTAGATTTACATAAAGCAAATAATACTTTACACTGAATTGTTATGGCAGAGAAAAATGTAGCAGCCAAGAAGTTTCATGATTTCATGACAGGTGATGACAGACTTGATGAAGGACATCTTTACAAATACAGGCAGTATGTTTTTGGTAAGCAAAATATAACCATGAAGTTTCTAATATCTGAGCATCTTCACACCAAAATTTATTGCTGTCTGTGTTGTTACTTACCAAGCAGTGTAAAGCCTAAATAATGTACTAGAAAGATGTTGCATTGATTATGTTGTATGTTTTGTTTACTATAAATAAGTAATGCAACAGTGCTAACTAGTTATCTCACTAAAGGAAATCACTGACTTGGAAGACAGAAAATCACAATACCTAATACTCATCTACACAGAAATGTGATCACCATCTTGAAAAATTATTCCAAATGATACAACTAGCAGTGAGCAAGCGGTTATGCCTCTGTTTTATCTTCTGCAGGATTTTATTAGAAATGCTTCATTAAATCACATTATTCTGCAGTTGTCTGCTCACTGAAAATTAAAATAAAAATCAGGAAATTTATCCAGCAGAGCAGTAATATTTCCTTTGTTAAGTACTGAAAGTTCAAATAAAACAAGATCCTTTAGCATCAGTGTGCCAGAAGCACTGAGTACATCCTATTTTTGTGATGTATGGATGGCATTTACAGATGCAATTCATCAATGTATTTATTAGTCAAATGTCATCAAACAAAGAAGATAAATGGCAGTAAACAAAGACTGCATGGTAATACAGAGGCTAAAGCAATGGAAGACCCTACAATCTAATTAGTTAATGTTGAGTTTCATGTTTTCAATCTCTATTTAAGCATCTCATTTAAATGTCTTTCATCATTTTTCTATTGCCTGTCCAAGTAATTCAGGTAGCGATTGCTTTTTATTGGAAAATATATTTTTCATTTACCTTTTGAATTTTTAACGCCTTGAGGCAAAAGCTGTGTAAGGATGAATGTAACAGAAGAGTCCTGTGGCAGCAGAACTTAATACTGACCTGTCCCTGTTCATGATCATTTTTGTGTTGAGGGTTATCACCAGCTGATTTAGACTTTCATTCCTGTCTTGGAGTAGTTGCAGGTCTGACATTTTAAACCAGCTGGAGTATTTGCTCCATTATCCTTAGATCACTGAATTTAAGAGTGTGAATTTAATCCTTCATTACTTGAAGGATTTTGCTTGTGCTTTGTTTTCTTTTTTTTTCATCATGATAAAACAGTGTCATAGTATACACAGCTTCACAGAGTCCATTGTAAGTACACACTTTCACATTTGAAATATTTTTTAAAAACAGAAGTTCACTCTTAGGGCTATTTCAACAGAAAATTTGGATCATTGATTTGGTTTTATAAACTGTTGATATTTACTTTGAAACACTTCTTCTCATTACTAAGTTCAGATATCTAACATTCACCAGACATAGGAATGAATGTGGAAACATCAATAGTAATGTAGTTCATTTTTTATGGTGACAGCCACAGAACTATCTCCTTTTGCTCTTGTAGAACTTGGGAAGGGTTTATGCTTTGTTTCTTTATATAGCCAAGCAACCACTCTTGTTTGCCATATTTAGTGAGTTATTTATCAAAAGAGATAACAAAATAATAATGGCCAGCTAATGTACCTTTTCATACTACTAGTGCAGAACAGTCACATTTTTAAGATAAACAATTCAAGGCATCTTCATATAGCTTCTTTTATGTCATGTATTTTGAAAAAGACTTTGGAGATAGAAAAGAGAAAGCAAAGACTTTACACTTTACTAGTTAAAGTAGTTAACATAACTACCAGGTATGGCATGACACTACATAGTTAGATAAAATGATTAAGAGATTAAGTCACTGAAAAAAGCTTTCTTAGCTTTTTTTTCTGTCTGAATACATTGGTACAGTGATCTGTAGAATGCACTTCAAGCTGTTGCTTGAAGTAGCACTGGAAAATGCTTTGTATGGATTTGATCCTTAGGCTGTAACTAAACACTTATAGGAGAGGCTCCTATATGTTTTGTGGTGTGGAAGAATAATTTATATAATTGCATGTGTAAAAAGTTAGAAGATGCTTTTTCCCCTCATCTTTGAAGTTTAGCAAACCTCCTAATCTGTGCTAGGTTCATAGCTTGCATTTTCTAGTTGCCTCACTTCACATCTTGCTGATCTTGTAATAGGAAACTTGAACACAGGTCTCTTGGCACCAGGACAGCGTTGTATACAGCCACCTCAGCTGTGAGCATCCCTTTAACAATGCCAAGGGGAAAGCCACGGTACAGGGTAGCACTCAGGTGAAAGCACACATAGCATTTTTTGACTTCTGATTGTTTGGTATTCTATGCCTCTATTACAAATCAAAGCTAATGCAGCAGAAGGTGCTTTACACTGGCAAACTTCACAAGTAAATAATAAACAATCACAGTTCAACAAACCTAACTGGTTGTATAAATAGCAAAATATTAATAAATGAGTCAGTAAATATCAAACACTTTTAAAATACATAAATGTTTAGTCTTGGTTGTATGCTGGCCTCTCTCTCTGTGGAATATTTCTTGCCTTTTCTGTTGCTATATTAAGGTCCAGTATTTGAAGATGAGGTACTGGACTAGATGGATCACCGTCTTGATTCAATAAAGCAATTTCTTTCTTGAAATGCAAGGAGGCAGTATTGCAGTGCTGCATATTTACTTTACTTACAAGAATCAAACTGCAGCTGCTTAGTGCATTGCTTTTGCTTTTTTTTCACGTTTAAAAGCAGGATATAAAACATTTCTAAAATAAATCTGTCAGTAACATGCAGTCTCACACCAGCTCTTTTAGAGACAGGAGCACAGACCTGACTAGTCTCTCACATTTGCAGTGATATTCTCATATTGGATTTCTTCTACTCCCTCACTGCATTTTCTGCATCACATATTGATAAGGCAGAGCTGTGGCCTCTGATCCATCCTGCCACAAAGCAGTCAGTTATGTAGTGGGTGTTCTTCCTCATCTCTG